ATACATATATACATATATACATAATATATATATATATATATATATATATACATATCATTACAGCTAACACTGTATGTACAGACAGCCCTGCCCAAATCCTGTTATACAAACATACATATACATATATACATAAATATTTATATATATATATATACATATCATTACATCTAACACTGTATGTACAGACAGTCCTGCCCAAACTCCTGTTATACAAACATACATATACATATATACATAAATATTTATATATATATATATACATATCATTACATCTAACACTGTATGTACAGACAGTCCTGCCCAAACTCCTGTTATACAAACATACACATACATATATACATAAATAGATATATATATACATATCATTACATCTAACACTGTATGTACAGACAGTCCTGNTCTCTCTCTCTCTCTCTCTCTCTCTACTCTTCATTCCCCCAAATCTCTCTCCTCCTACTCGCTGCAATACTTCACTTCCCCCCACCGCCGCCACGCCCACGTGCGCACGTCCCGGGAGCGCAGGTGCGCTAACGAGCGTTCTCACCTGGCGCCGAGGTCACTGTTGATGACGGCGGGCAAGGTCCAGAGCCGCGTGTTCGGAACGCTCGACAGCCAGTCGCACCACACCTTGATAGAGGGCAGCACGTGTCGCAGGTCGTCGCTCAGCAGGTCCTGTCGGCGGCGGAACGACAATGGAACGTCCAAACGTTGGAACGACGACAGGTCGTCGAAACGAGAACGGCGAGCGGTTCAGAACCGCTTCACGACAGCGACGGAACAACGTCGGAACAACGACGGAACGTCCGAACATCGGAACAATGAGGGGATGTCAAAACAGTTCTTTAATGATGGATTTTCTTAAGCGAACGTTTTTACGTGTTTTAGGCCACACTCGAGTTATGTAAATAATGAACGTACTAACCCGATAAGAGACGACTTATGAGAGAGGGCAGTTGGTGTAGGCATGTGGGAGGGATAGAGGATGGAAGAGGGGGAAGGAGGAAAGGAAGGGTGTAAGAGAAGGGGGAAATCATTTGTATTTTGGTCTGGCACGCATTTGTTTTTCCAGCAGGGTGTGAGGGAGAGAGAGAGAGAGAGAGAGAGAGAGAGAGAGAGAGAGAGAGAGAGAGAGAGAGAGAGAGAGAGAGAGAGAGAGAGAGAGAGAGAGAGAGAGAGAGAGAGAGAGAGAGAGACGAGAGAGAGAGAGAGAGAGAGAGAGANCGGAACTGTACCGAACATCGCCGAACAATTGAGGCGAGATTCCGTCAAAACAGTTCTTTAATGATGGATTTTCTTGTAACCTGCGAACGTTTTAGGTGGGGTTTTAGGCCACACTCGAGTTATTGTAAAATAAATGGAACGTACTTAACCCGATTAGAGAGACGACTTATGAGAGAGCGGCAGTTGGTGTAGGCATGTGGGCCTATTTATGCTCGAGATAGAGGACTGAAGAGGGGAGAAGGAGGAAAGAAGGAAGAGGTTAAGAGAGGGCTAAGGGAATCATTTGTATTTGGGTCTGGCACGCATTGGTTTTTCCAGCAGACGAGTTATGCAAGGATGTGAGGGAGGGAGAGGTGAAGATCAAGAGACGAGAAGAGAGAGAGGAAGAGATTATGAGACGATACGAGAGACGGACGAGAAGAGAGAGAGATTTGAGAGAGGATGAGAGAGGAGAAAGAGAGAGAGAGAGAGATGACAGAGACGAGCCGAGAGAGAGAGAGAGAGAGAAAGAGAGAGAGAGAGAGAGGGAGGACAGGGGAGGAGTCACATACCTCAGGATCGGCTGCCTCCTGCATGTGTTTTCCAGCAGTTCAGCCCGCCGCCCTCTCTCACCAGCACGGCAGCAGGACGTAAGGTATAAGCGGGGAGAGAGAGGAGAGAGAGACGAAGAGCGAGAGAAAGAGCGAGGAGAGAGAGATGAAGAGCGAGAAAGAGGAGAGAAAGAGGGAGGAGCGCAGAGAGCAGAGGGAAAATTGAAGAGAAAGAAGAGGGAGGAGGAGAGCAGAGCGGAGCAGCGAAGGAGAGAAGAGAGGGCGCTATTGAAAGACGAGAGAGATGAGAGAGGGGGAGCAGAGAGAGAGCGGAGGAGGACAGGCCGGAGGAGTCACCATACCTCAGGATCGGCTTGCCTCAGTATGTGTTCTTTCCAGCCAGTCAGCCGCTCTCTTCACCAGCACGGCCAGCAGGGCGTAAGGTAGAGGAGGAGAGAGGGAGAGAGAGGAGGAGGACTGAGAAAGAGGGAGGAGAGAGCGAGGGAGGACAGGGGAGAGTCACATACCTCAGGATCGGCTGCCTCCTGCCATGTGTTTTTCCAGCAGTCCCGCCGTCTCTTCACCAGCACCGGACAGCAGCGGTCGTTAGTAGCAGAGGAACGAGAGAGCAGAGAAGAGCAGGAAGGATGGAGAAAAGACGAGGAGGAGAGAGAGAGAGAGGAGAAGAGACGAGAGAGAGGGAGAGAAAGAGAGAGAGAGAGAGAGAGAGGGGGGAAGGAGGAGAGAGAGAGAGGAGAGAGAGAGAGGGAGGAGGAGAGAAAGATGGAGGAGGAGAGAAAGAGAGGGGAGGAGAGAGAGAGAGGAAGGAGAGGAGAAGAGAGAGAGAGAGACGAGAGGAGAAAGAGAGGACAAGGGAGGAGTCACATACCTCAGGATCGGCTGCCTCCAGCATGTGTTTTTCCAGCAGTCCCGCCGCTCTCTTCACCAGAACGGCAAACATACACATCGCCAGACTGAGAGCCTGCAGCTGAAGCACCGAGATCGCATCCTCCCTGTCGTCATGGCAATCTACCGAGCAGCAGCAGCAGACGCCGCTATAGCGATCGAGCGACAACGAACAAATGCAGCGCAGCAAACTCGATTCGATTGGACGTCGCATTTACGGTAGATTAGTATCGATTGTGCATACATTACGATACATATGTATCGTACATACGTACGTTTAAATATTGAAATGTTACGATATACCATGAATAAACTAATTTTAGCTTGACGATAGAATTATTTTTTCTTCCGCAATCTACCGCAAATATTGCGGATAGGTTTTGATCGCCCGCCCCTCGCAACGAGATCCCGCCGCCAGGGGGCGCCACCGACCTTTCAGCGCACTGCTGTCGATCGTGAAGATGTTGATCGTGATGTACTGCAGCAGACAGTCGTTGCGGATCGGGAACGGACTGTGTTGCGCCAGAACCTGTAGTTCTTGGAGCAGCAGTAGCGCCACCTCTCCAAACGTTTCCATACTACACAAACAAAAATGGAATTTTTTCGCGTTTTTTTTATTTTCGTCGACTTGAACGAATAAAACGATTAAATTTTTTAAAACTTACATAATTCGATAGCTCTACGGGATAAAATGTGTGATTAATTTAAAACGTACCTTAATTAACCAAAAATACAATACCTTAATCAGATATGATGTAATGCATGGTATAATGATATAAAATGAACATCATCTATGTAGGAACTCACTCTATCCTTGTGAACAGCTATCCAAAATATTTTTTTTCTCACATTTTTTAATTTTTGTCGACTTGAACGAATAAAAAAGGATTGAATTAGTTTGATTTATACGATACCTCTATCAGATATAATATGAAGCATGGTATTTGGATATAAAACATACTTAATACAATACCACCATGGGATATTCAACAAGATTCACCAAGCCTGAGGCGAATAACTGTTTTAGTATCATTGCCCGAGTAATTATATGAAAGAAAACGTAAACCATTTTCAAAGAACTAAGTGCTGAAACCACTCTGTTGACAAAACGTTTCGTAAAATTAGATGTAAACAAGTGTCGGCAACCATTTTCTTTAAATTAGGTAGTGCCTGCCATCTGTTGGAAATCAGAGTAACAAAAACCAATAATAAGCTTG